TGTATTTATTATATTTCTCCACGATAGCTCGTTGTTTAGAGTCAAAAGTACTGGGGTAGCTGCACACGCACTCGCCTTTTAGCCTTTCTCAAGAAACAGATCATCAAGAAAAGTAAAAACTGCACAGAAACTGAGCCGCGTAGGAATTACTGATGCAGAATTTTTGCTTCGATTCGTTTGTTTTTTCAACTCTAGAGTACAAGCAACCAGCGCTGCGTACAGGAAGCTAACATTCCCGTTCATAGTGCAAGAAAGCTATGTGAGCTGCTTTCTCCACTGACGGGTGCATTGAACTTGAACTTGAAGCACAGCGATGCATGCAAAAGTTTCGTATGAAGAGATGAACTTTCTGATGCCGTGCTACTTGGCTATGACGACTGGCGTATGATATGCAGATAAGCGATGTACAGATTGAGGATTTAAATTCAGCAAAGTTCAGCAGCGCAGCACAAGCACAGATATCTCTGCTGGATACAAGAAAAAACTCTGAGTCAACTGGCAGCTAGTTTCTTGCATTCACATCTGAAATTAACCATCTGGTTGTTTGGCCTCAGAATGTAGTTGCGGGGGTTTCAGCAGCGGCGTAGATCACTCTTGTATCTTAGTGGATGTTTTGAGATCAGATGAAAGCTGAAGGCAGCTTGCGTGCTCAAGTCCTGCGGAGTTGCATTCCTGCGTGTCGTTGCAATGGCAGACTGTACACCTGATAAACGAAATTCATTGAATTGGATGATGAGCCGTAGACTGTAGCTCAGAAACCTTCCAGCTTAATATATTGCCAGTTACACGCTGGTGGAGTTTGGGGGAGAAGGCCAACTGATGGGGCCTGTTCTGCTCGTTGCTTGCACGTGAATATGATGCTATCAGCTGTTCTGCTCCCGCACTTTGCTATGAAGCTCGAAGGAGTTCAACATATTAACGATTAGGATAGCGCATATCAGGGGATGAAAAGTAGAGTGATGAACAGAAGGAAAAATAAGAGTACTGCGCGTTGTGCTGCCTGTCAGAGCCTTTGTAGGAAGTTTGCATCTCGAAATGCCTCAAAACAAATTATGGAATTATGGAGAAAACTTTTGCCTGGGGCATTCGGGTAAAATATATCCAGTTGAATCCAGCGTGATCGAAACCCCTCCTCACAAACTTCTAGTTAGCAGGCCCCCGCTGTGATACGATGCCGCGGTCTGGCGGCCTTTACAAACACAACGCCAAAACAACGGCTTGTGAAATCCCGTTCATGCACTGATAGAAAACAAAAAAAGGTATTGTACGTGTATACAACCTCCCTGCGAAAGAGAACTATGAATAGCGGTGGAAACACGCATCTGAACAAGAACTCCTCTATACAGCCACTTGCGCAACTAAGCCGTAACGCCAAAACCCTTAGGCGCGCGCTGCTGATTGCTGAGACGACAAGCTCCGCAAAGAAGCTGCTTTTTTCTCTGTCTTGCTGACGGACTCGGCAGATGGAGGTGCAAGGCACCGGAACCGGGCTGGAGCGCCCTCGTTCTGCAGCACAACAAGAACCGTCACACCTCAAGCAGCGCGAAGATAAAAGGGCTGTATATTTTGAACGAACAAGCGCCAGATTATCCGAAGACCATCAACGGACCTGTATAGATGCGATGATCCCCTCCATGACGGCTGAGTCTTCTAGCGCCCCGCTGATGGAAATATCAACTAAGGTGGGTCCCTTCTCCTCGGTGACCTCCTCCTCTTTTTGTTTTTTACAGTAAAGCTTCTCGTACAGTTCTTCCGCAAAGGCGTCGTGACAGTTCTGGTGGCCAATTCCCTGAACTGCGAAATTCGTGGTGCCCGAAGCCTTATCTCCCGTCACTTCGACTTGCCAGCCTGCGGCGCAGTTTATTACCGTGTGCAGCTTTGAATAGCTTTTAAGGTACCACAGCACGACCTTCATATACGACCAGACGAAAAAGTTTTTTTTTCAGAAAAGTTCTTCTGAGGCAATGCAGATTCAGGAGTTCATTGATGCACCGGCTGTTTCACTTGACGTTTGGGTTGCACAAGCGAGTACTACACAAGTAACAAAGGCACCTTCATACGGAAACTCTGCTTCAAAAGACTCAGCTCACAAGATGAAGCCTTCGTCAACCTTACTGAGCCTTTCACGCAATTGATCTGATACGTCAGCGAGTTGTCCCCCACACAGTGACTTATCACGAAGGAGCCAAGGGTGCCTGAAGAAGCACACGACACGACACGGCACAGGAGGTATGCAGGGATATGCGTTGATGCCGGTAAGCCGCCTTTCTAGCGAGAAAGAGCTAGGCAACAGCCTCGTGGGTGCCAAGCGTCACAGTTAGGTGTACACTGAGTAATACTACGCATACTCGTCTGTCCACCAGGATTTATCAAAGTCAGCCATCCGGTGAGGCGGGCGTATTCTCTGCGGAGCCGTGTGTTCTTCAGCTTTTCCTGTTTAAAACTATCTCCTTCATCCGAAGGGGAGAAACTACCAGTGGCACACGGGGCGTAGTCGCCTTTTGCAGCTGCCGAAACCGAGCTAAGCTGCAATCCGGTCAGCTGGCGCACAGCCGCAATGCAGCGCAGCAAGTCCAGAGCCAAGTGATCTGTACGGCACAGCACACACCACCCGGCAGCCGCTTTGCAGTTCTTGTTAGTGGCCACAGGCTTCAAGGAAAGCTATTTATCAGGTCACTCTTGTTTTCGAAAACACTACCCCAGTACGCGTCCACCCCGTGGCTGCTTACGCTTGATGTCATAAGGAGCAGTGGAGAATTTATGCTTGAGCGCAGTGTCCGTGCCGCACTTGAAGCACAGAGTTGTAACTCTGCCCAATCCCGCCACTTTGGCAGCGGCCTGTTCAAAAGCCTCTTCTTGTCGGTTGTTTTCAACTGCATGCCATACCAGCGAGTTGCTGTACGGCCTGTAGACGTCTAAGAGGGCCGACGCGTTTGCAAGGCTCAGCTGCATGGGAGACCGCGTCAGCACGTGCTTGCCCATAGCGAAGATGCGTGGGAGTAGAGACATCTACAACGAAGTAAAACAACTCAAAATACAACTAAACATCAATCGGAGGGGGAAACGCATACTAAAAGACCGAGCTCGAAACGCTTTCCTAGAAGCCATACCATTAGCTGCATGTGCACGTCGACGACCACCGCCTGAATGTCTGTTCTTTCTAACAACGATGTCAGCCCTTGAGACCCGCTGTACATCTCAGCTTCTGTAAGCTCCCCTTTCTGAATGAGCGCAGCAGCTTCTTCCTGCGTAAATGCAAATGCTGCGACGATCTTCAACCGCGTGTCGCGACGGAGCAGCGGAAGGGCCTCGTATCTACAAAATGCACACAGGGAGCAAACCCCAAAGGAACAGAGTTAAAAGAGTATTCTCAAGTAGTGAAGCACCTCAGAGAGACATGTTCTACTCAAAACATCTACTTGCTTCGTGCATGTAATAGAGGTGGCGGGAACAAAGACCTACTGGGTCCAGTATCCAAACCCAATTACAGCTATTCGGACTGGGTTTTTGCACATGTTCAGCGTGCGCAGCATTTGCGCAGCCTGAGCGTAGTTGGGGTCGATCTGCAAGGCCTTTTCGCACCACGTGATTCCAGCTTCAAATTTGCCTTCGACTTTGTAGCAGCTTGCGAGGTTGACACAAGTAGACGGATGAAGGCGCTCGCCGTCTAAGTTGGCGCTTGCCTAAGAGCAAAAAATAAGTGTGCATGCAGCTTACGAAGATGTACAAGCATCCAGAGAATTCCGTTTAGGGGGATGAAACTCCACGAACGAGTAAATAAAAACTCCTGTAGATTCACTGGGTGTGTGTGGATTACCTGTAGGTACTTGAGAGCTTT